CGTGGGTTCGAATCCCAGTGACTATATTTCTACGTTTGTGAGCACCGAGTCCGAGTTGGGTGGTTCTACTAAAGTGTTAAACGCCTACGATTTTCCTGTGCCCTTGTTTTACCGAATGTTTAAAGGCTGAAGATCTGCGTTACTCTAGGCTGCCTCGTCGTTGTTTGATTGTTTGATTGTGTATTCATATATGTGACAAGTAAATACTCGTTGATACACATAGTGGTATTAATGTTATTTTCAGCTGAAGTCTTCATTTACACTGATTTAGGTATTGTATTAGAGCGGTCGTATCAGAGGCAATGGAGCCGACTGTATTAATCCTCTGATTTCAGTGGAAGGAATCTGAATGAAAGCAATATTTAATAGAATCAGCTTGTCAGTACAGATTCTAAAGCTATTTCGTTACAGAAACTGTTACAGAAACATCGAGGCGATGTTTGTGATTTCTTAACTGACTCCTGCGTATTACCTACGTTTCACTTAACTTTTGTACTTTCGTAGTATCGTACTTGTACTACTAAGTAATGGTTAGTAGTAGTAGTAGTAGTAGTAGCGACAGCAGTAATATGGAGCAGTAGCAGCACTTGCAGCAGCAGTGAGTAGTTACAGTAGAAGGTGAGTTGAGGTGAAATTGGGTTTAACGTCGTGCTTGAGAATATTTCGCTCGTATGACGACGTGCACGCGTGTATGTGTATGTGCGGCTGCTTGTACTAGCCCAGACTGAAGCTGGTTTTATAGTGCTAGCCCACTGAGATACAATGCCGCAGTGAAGCATGAATACCCGACTCAGACACATTATACTGACTCCGAGCCGACCAGTCCTTGATGTACCCATTCATGCCGAACGCCAGGCAGGGACCAACAAGTACCATATTTTAACGTCTTTTGGTATGACGTGATCGGGGATCGAACCCGCGACCTTCCGCTCTCCGGGCGGACGCTCTAACCACTACACCACGGAGGCGGTCTACAGTAGAAGGTGGAGGAGGACAAGCAATAGTAGTAGTGAGGGAAGCAGTAGCAATAATTAACAGTAGTCAAAGTTACTAATTGCTGAAGCAGTAACAATATAGCAGCACTTGATTGCGCGGATCGATCCTGCCCTTATATAATTACCGCCATGCCTGTGTTTTTTACTCTTCCATGGTTCGACCCAGAATATGTAGTGGGTGCCATGGACAATTATAATTTAATTAATACAGTTCTTTGGAATCGGTCCGAAACAGCCCAATATACCTAACCTTGCACTTTTTCGTAACTCCAATGGAAGTTATTTCATCATTTCAATTGTTAAATTCTGTGTCCCTTTTGAGAGTAATGTGGGTAACTTGACAAATAGGCGTACCCTGCTTATGACATGTCACGATTGTATCCCAGGTTTCTTACTGTCCGACTCCCCATTGCACTTGGTGCCGTAGGTTTTGTACCACCCAACCTGTTGATAGTGCCTGGGTGCGCTGCCAGGAGCACAGCCCTGCTGACACTGTGGGCTATGCAGCAGGGTGCAGTGCTGGGGATTCTACTCGTTCTCCAACATTCTTGGTGGGCTCGACTAGGCAGCATCTAAAAGGGGCATTGGACCTGAGCTGATGAGTCTAACAGGAGTTGAAAAATACTATTGCCCGATGACCAGATTGAGTGGAATTCTCCGGTCGGTCAAGTAAATATTCACATTAAACTTTACCGTGGTACTGTAGTGCCACACTACTGAAATGTTCTAATATATCAGTGTTTAAAGAACTCCCAAATTTCCTAGTCAGACAGCTGGACTGGTAACTTTAAAAAATTATCAGTCTGGATACAAACTTGCCTGTCCGGTTTTCAACAATAAGCTGAAATTACACGTGTTGTGATTGGTTATCGTAACATGAACTGTCCAATCGTAAGTAGTTTAACATAATTTTCATAATACCTTAAACACCTCAAACTGACAAGAGAACCTGTCTGATATTATGAAATATTTAGGGGTAAATATATCTACCCGACCACCGGACAGGCTACTTTTGAAATTTGACCGTCCGAGATAAAAATAAACCGTTAGGGACGGTCGGACAGGCGGGAATTTTAAAACTGTATGATATATGTATTTTGATGATGAAATAAAAATGCAATTGCTTCCAATTGATAAAGATTATTTGCAAAAGAAACCAAATTGTTAAATGTGGTTAAGTGTAATTAACATTTGGTCAAGTGGATTTTGTAAGTTTACTGGACCTGTGTCCAGTGGAGTTTTGAAAACTTTTCAACCACTGGCCTAACTAATCTGAATGCCAGGATAAAATGAACCCTCGTTGCTGCAATCATATATTTCAATGTTTTGTTGTTGATGATGATGATGATGATGATGATGATGATGATGATAATGGTAGCAGAAGTAGCAATAACAGTCGAGGAAGAGTACAACTACCTATAACAGTAGAGTAGTACAACTGTTTGTATATGACGATTCTCTAAATATATTCTCTCAAATAGCATATTATGATCTTTAGACTGAGTACGGAAACAACACTTTTTAAATATGCATGTAAAGTAATTACAGCGTGTACGTATGAAATATACCGACCATCGACGTGTCCAATGTTTACACGATATTGGTCTACAGGTTCATACATATTGTCAGCCATATTGATTTGGTCTCGGCTGCATTACTGTCGCTGGTAAATGTGAGATAAATGATCATTTGCGGAATAGGTACATTTCCTTGTCTGGCGATCTTGAGACGGATACACGTTGCCGCTCAAGTTCCAAACAAGCTTAGTTAACACGTGCAGCACTTTATACTGCGAGTATGTTGAAGGTCCTGGTTACCTTGACGACACGTCACAGTGAAGGATTGAGTGTGGTTTTACGCCGCTTGTAGAAATATCCCAGCAATATCACGGCGGGGGACACCAGAAATGGCTTCACACATTGTACCCAATATTTAGAATCGAACCCGGGTCTTCGGCGTGACGAGCGAACGCTTTAACCACTAGGCTACCCCACCGCCCCACAAACAGTATTAACTTGTATGGGTTGTGTCAGTTACAGTTGTTGTAGGCCATTACCTAAGGGCATTTTACCCTGAATCCACACAAAGAGTAACTGAAAATATGAACTCGAACTGTGCCTGTTATGTCTATGTTATTCTTATATATTTCGCACATAATGCGATTGGAATAAATTACACTTTCAGTTTACTTTGAACAACTATGATATTAAAGTGTACATTATCAATAAAAGCTTATCAAAATGGAATCAACTGCATATCATTATAAGGAATGAAGCAAATATGGTAATTATACTTCAGTAACAGTTGTGTTATTGTGTATGACTGGTCTACAGTCGATGTGATACGCTGTTGATGTCTACATCATACTGTACGGGCCCATTGTCAACTGATCCGTATCTGAACGCTTCACCGTTATGCTAATGAAGTCGTGCTATCAACGCGTGTGAGTTCTGAATATAACAACACTATCTGCTCCATCGTAAAGCCATTTCTATGGATATTAGGGTTCTTTCCTAATCTAGGTACTGCGAAAATCTGACGATTTATCGCTGGTGATTTGGAACTGGTCGGTTTATAGATGAATAGCAAGAATAACAAACACGACTTCAGTCCATGCCATGTTGCTGTTTTGGGTAGTTTTGTTGTTTGTTTTTAATTCGCTTTGGTCGATCGAATACACCGCAAATTCATGCAGTCCGGTTCGTAATTAGTAGTGGGTTCTATTCTCAAATTACCAAATTGTGATCATTGTTCATTTCGCACCGTTTTTGAGGGTTTCAGCAGAGAGATAAACCTCCAATACATGCATCATACTGGGGTTTCATCGGTGTGGGACACATCTTATATGTCATTTGAGGGGTTTCAGCACAGTACTCATGGGGTTCATCGGTGTGATAAACCTCAAAAACATGCATCATATCGGGGGTTTCAGCACAGTACTCATGGGGTTCATCGGTGTGATAAACCTCAAAAACATGCATCATATCGGGGGTTTCAGCACAGTACTCTTGGGTTCATCGGTGTGATAAACCTCAAATACATGCATCATATTCAGAACAGGATTCGGGTTTCAGTGTGATAAACCCTCAAAACATGCATCATATTGGGGTTTCGGTACAGTATTCGTGGGTTCATCGGTGCATATCATCATATTGGGGATAAACCTCAAAAACATGCATCATATCGGGGTTTCAAATACATGCATCATATTGGGGGTTTCAGTTCATCAGTACTCATGGGGTACATGCATCATCGGTGTGAACCTCAAATACATGCATCATATTGGGGGTTTCAGCACAGTATTCGTGGGTTCATCGGTGTGATAAACCTCAAATACATGCATCATATTGGGGGTTTCAGCACAGTATTCGTGGGTTCATCGGTGTGATAAACCTCAAATACATGCATCATATTGGGGGTTTCAGCACAGTACTCATCGGGTTCATCGGTGTGATAAACCTCAAATACATGCATCATATCGGGGGTTTCGGTACAGGATTCGTGGGTTCATCGGTGTGGTATACTTCTTTTACGTCATTTATAGGGGTTCCCTCGCCATGTTCGAGGGTTTCATCGGTGTGATACACATCCAATACGTTATTTTGTGGTTGTTTCCGCACAGTGTTCATGACTTTCATCCATGTGGTACACCTGCTATACGTCATTTACACTGATTTCGATGTAATTAACCTCACTTGAGGATATGTCTGACCATTAAGCACATGCGTCAATAACGAATAAAGGACTATTCAAATGAACCACTCATTGCGCCACGAGCAGTTTTACACAAGGATTCAATAGGATTAGGCCTACCTGAACCGCCAAGCCTGGGCATTAAATTCAGAGGCATTTTCACGGGTGGGTGGGTCTGTAGGACTGGACGAAAGTACATTCATCAATAGATCAAATATAGTTGCGTAATTGTGTTCATGCAATTAAAAGTATGAACAAGTTAACAGGTCAGCAATGTGCATAAAGTCATGTCGAAACAAGCTAGACCAGCGATGCATGGCTGATGTCAGTAAGCTGTATGGTAGACATCTACCTACCAATCAGGTCACTGCATACTGCAGACGAGACTTGCTCCGGTTGGCTGGGTACAGGGTGGTGGTAGAACAGCTGTGGAGATCTGCTGGAGAATCAGAGCAGACGACAAGTATGTCTGAGGGATACGCCCTGCTTCCAGTAGAGGAAGATGCTGAAATACCACAAACATATGAAGGCTTCGCCAAAAACAGACGACACGGAGATACGTTACAGGTAACCCCTTAAACTATAGACTGGACGGGGCTCGAACAGTATGCAAGACAGGTTCAGATGAGGGTGGTTTCTTAGCATGTAATGAATTAAGTAGGTTAGTACGTGGTTATCGATTTGTAACAACATTGATTCCATGTTCGATACACGAAATGAACATGCCAATGGAGGAACATATTTACTTGTTTTTGTGAAGATGACGGAGTGTGATCGGAAATCATGACGAAAGATGAAGACGTGTTTAAAGATTATAGAGAAAATGTGTTTGTTTTGGTAGGATTATTGACGGACACAGAATATAGCATCTATTTCTCGGTGCATGTAAACATGCTCTGGGTCACGCCTTGCTATACACAGGCAGTAAATTGAAGGGGCTTTGAGACGGTCCTTTAGAATCCAGACGTAAATAGCTCAGTTGCATTTCAGTGGGTATGAATGGAAGTCTCTGTATTGTAGGACATATATTATCCATTTTAAAAACATACTTTTTTATTGTACGAGCCAACAGTATGTTTAGCAATGTGTTATACGTGTTCGGAATTAGGGCTTGAAGGATTGGTTCTTTAGGTCGAGGATTTCTTGGGTAAAACATTCTCCTGTGTGAGTAAGTGAGTGAGTTAGTTTTACGCCGCACTCAGCAATATTCGAGCTATATTGCGGCGGTCTGTAAATAATCAAGTCTGGACCAGACGATCCCGTGATCAACAGCATGAGCATGAATCTACTCAACTGAGACAACTCCAACCCCTTTAGTCGCCTCTTACGACAAGCATGGGTTACTGAAGATCAAGTCTAACCGGATCTTCACGGATCCATTCTCCTGCGAGGCTATTTTATGAATTTCTTTAGAACGCCGGGTGTTAGGGGTGCAGACTGGCGTGCAAGCCGAAGGAGTGGGCTCTATGGGTAGTAGATGGGACTCTAGTATCTCCAACCTAGCGGGACATTGTTGTAACTTCGAGTTATCAGAGCATTCGAGTCATGTCCGAGATACCTATATCGATACCTACAATTCAAGATACGTTTATAAATATAGTAATACGGTCGGTATGGTCGAGCGACTGAGTGAATTGGGTTTTATGCCGCTTTGGGCAATATTCCGGATATATCAAGGCAGGGGACAATAGAAATGGGCTTCACACATTATATCTATGTAGGGAATCGAACCCGCGTCTTCTGCGTGATGAGCGAACGCTTTTACAACTAGGCTACTCCACCGCCCCTCGGGATTGTAAAATGGGTTCGAGACGTCGGTACATTCGAGATAACGGGGTCCAACTGTACATTATGGAAACACAAACCCTGTCGACGTTGCGTGTGATCGTTTGAATGTCTTATTTACGGTAGTGTTGAGGTGATGAATGCGGCATTTGTTCTGTAATACCCTCCCTGGATACCCTGGGGCACCATGACCCGCAACACTGCTCAAGCTTTTGTATCGAGAGGCATTAGTATCGAGAGGCATTTGTATCCCCCAGCAGGGTTGTTCTGGATAAAACGACTTTGACGGGTAGAAGGCGCGCTATTGCATATTTAAGTTCGTGGTGGGCAAATGGGTAACTATCCACTGACATCTCATCTTGCTGAACTTGTAGCATATGTTGTATTTTGGGATTACACATTCTCAGTAAAGTACAAATTTTAGGGGTTTTTTGTTAGTTGAATCTTATCTGGGATTCGAACGAATGCACTGTGTTTTCTCCCAGACCGATTACTCTTTACAGGATATTTGTAAACGTCCTATATTTCTATAAGATATAGCACATGTGTTTTTGTTGATTGAGTTTCAGGGAAATTGCACCTGAATAAGACAAATGTGCTCTTTGTCCGTCCGTCCGTTTTGTCACAGGCGTTGTCTAAAAGGAGTACTGTGTACTACCGTTAAAGATCATTAACGTGAAATCACCTTGACTTATACCGCCAACTGAACTGAGGAAAGTTCCTCATTCAGTGTCGTGTGAAACAGTGTGCCAGTGTTGTTAGATTGAAACGTTACTGCGTTGAAATCGATAATAAACATGATTTAATAGACACAGGCTGTTAAAATGACTTTATTCAAACAGTAATGCCCAGGTCTATTTACAACTGACGTAGATTCGAATAAATGTTCCCTTTTTTACACATTTTATGTATGTATATATAGATACTGAAGCACTTACTTATTCAAAGACCTACTTATAAATCTTTCATTACTATATCAAGATAACGGTATTATCGTGATTACGCTGGGTTCATCAGTAAAACGGGAATATATTTTGATGTGACTGCTCATATGTCAATGTTGTTTACCTAAAGACCAACACACATTAGTATCTATCATATTTATACCTTAAATTGTTACTTCGCCACGTGTAAATATTTTAAGCACGTTCTTAATCAAATTTCACAAATGTATCGACTACAATTTGGAGGACTATAGAGTAATCAGAAAACATACAAGTCATAGCCTGAACCATGGCTTCCTTCAACACCTTGGTAAAACGTGAGTTCCGACACGGTGTGTGAACCAGTATGGCACGAGTACTCTAACAGCAATTATTTCACATTGCTACCTTGAACCCAGAAGTTTCATTGTCCTCCGCTCATGTAGGAGCTTGTTCGTCAGTCCGACAAGTCTACAATGGAATGAATGCCCTCTAACTTCTTGTACACTCTTCCCACAGTTGAAAATCGACTGTGTATAGTCAGGTTTTACTGACAGTAGTCGTGAGTCGTGACCAGCCACCTGTGAGACGCTGGGACATATATGAATGTTCACCAACTGAACCGTTCAAGACTGGTATGAAAAGTGTTCCACTGAGGCGTAACCACATATTTCAACACCGATGAACAAGTTTATTATGGAATATATTGGGCTATATAAAGATGGCGATGATTAGTAGTAGCGTAGTAGACCTTGTGGTGGTGGTGGTGGTGGTGGTTATCGTAGAAGTGGCAGCTGAAGTTAAGGTATGCATCATAAGATAACATAAGATAAGACTTTATTATCCACGTAGGAAATTTGGTTTACATTCATAAGAACTCTGGAGCATTTAACGATAAATAACAGGACAATAGCCCTTCTATTGTCCCCCAAAGGTCTCTGCTGAAACTACGGTCGATCGTATGATTCCGATTTTATTATGAGCAATATCATTATAAATCACTATCAAATATTGACAATATCAGGTACTTGATGTTACCGCGAAAAGGGAGCGTATCCTGCTCCACCGATGGCATCCGTCACAAACACATGCAACGGCATGTCAACATTCAGCCTTGGAAAATATGGGAAGTTATAATGGGTAGTTGTCCTTGACATGTTTCATTGTGATGGGTCAAATTTAACACCCCGCCGAGATATTTCGTTCAAAGCGACGTTAGTTCCACTTCCCTTATATGGTGACTCTGTGGCAGAAAGAAAAGTGTTATGACGAACAAAACACATGCTTAAATTCTCCTCGGAATACATCATTTGTCTCATAAATCAACTTTATGTACACTTTGGAGACTGACGCGTGCTGGAAAGGAAATATACCTATACTAGTTTCCATATGACTAATAAAAATACAGCATTTAGCCTCGAGCACCTTCAGGTGACATGCCGCTCGTTGAAGAGAGACAAACGTGATCATGTGTTCCCGAAATAATATCCAAGTTGTATTGTCACTATCTCTCATGTGTAGCATGCCCCCCTTGAAGGAGTCAGAGGGACGGGTCTCACCTGGGCCCTCTATTCCTTGCCCAGAACACCTCTCACTGAAGTGTGGACAGCCAATTAAAACCGGCCACTTCGCGCACTTATCTGGGCTGCTTCCGCGCTTGGACCGCGAGAGAATAGTCCCTATTGATCGTAAACATATTTATGTCTTGCGATGTGTTATTGTGCTGTTTGACACAGTTAGGAGTTATGGAGCATATGCCGGAATGTCCCCGCAGGGAAGGATCAAATGGTTGGACATTAATATTCTGATTCATGCCAAGATTTCTCTTCTCTTTGGTTAATGCTTGTCGCCGATGTTGTGTTTTATGTTCAGGAAAATATCATATGCGCAGTTCATTTGAGTAAACCCTAGTCGGTACAAAAAGAATGTTGGAAAGGAGTTGTTGGAAAAAAGGTAAATGATAACACTTTCCAAAGGAAGTGTGCACATATACCCAACACAACCTACCCTGGACATTGTAGTTATCAGAACAGAGCAGAAATATCATAAAGGAAGACGTGCTGTTAGAAGTGGCCGCATCATCATCATCATCATCATCATCATCAGTAGTACTACTAACAGTTGTAGTAGTAGTTGCTGCAGCAGCAGAAGAGTCATTATGAGTTTGGACCAGTCAACCACTTCGCGACACTGTGCGTTGTCTGGTATCTTTCTTTGTCTAACTATATATTTATTTGCATGCAAACCCGAGATGAGATTCAATCGTTGGTGATTTTTCCGTTTAAAAACGTAATAATTTCTCTTAGACATTTTGGTGCCTGGAAACACACACACACGTAATTGTTTTGTCAAAAGTAATTCTCGGTTGTCAACACGGAATTGACACTGTTTCCATGTTTCTACCTCCGGCATCCATTTCTGGCACGGAATCCCCGCTAGTACTTCTGCTGATGTGAGACGTGCGACATCACTTGGCAAGAAATAGCATCACTGTCATGGTTGAGAAAAACCTGCAAATCTTTGTGATGCCTGTTCAGAAAACAATATGCTGTCATGTTTTAATTAGATAAACTGCGCATGTTAGCTCAATCCAGTGCCTGTTTAGATATGACCTATATGCGTCTGCATCTTATTTGAACTGCGGCAACAAAAAATCAGTGAAACAGTGTCCACTGGAATTTTGTCCACTCAATCCACATTAGATAGTTTAAGCAACTGGACTACCTTGCATGTACATTAATACTTACATATTGACGCATATATCTTCAAACTGTTAATATTTTTTTAAAAAAAGAATCGATTCGCATGCTTCACATTTAAGACTTTTGGGCAGGTATAAAATAAAGGTAATTCTTATTG